TTTCATTTAACTTTACAGTTTCATTTGTTAAGATTAGTTACCTACATTAATTAACACAAACTATATAATAACTAAAATGAACTTACCTGTATTTAGAATTTTGCACTTCATTGTGTTATGTTTTAGGATTAACGGAAATGTCTGTAAAATTACTGGATAATTTCCTTGCAGAAAAATTACACTCACGTTTAAAAATTTTTTTTTTTTACAGTGATTCAGTAATTCTCACAATGTTACAATATATCTCGCAATGTGACTTTAAACTCTAGCAGTTTTTCAACTGTGGCAGTTACAACTGTATTTTCTCATAATTGTGACTTCATATCTTTCAATTATGGCATTATATTTAGCAAATGCCTGCAAAGTGACTTGTTTCCATAGCCGTGGGAACATATTTTATCTGGGGGCGGGGCTTGATGTTGCAGGGCGGGGCCATGGTTGGGGATTTTTGACAAAATCCTAACATTAAACAGCCCAAACTCAAAACAAAAATTAACATACAAATGAAGACAGAGTTATATGCGAACCAATATATATTTGTGCTTTTGTGATTTTAGTTCAAGAATTTTTTCTTTAATATTTCTATTATTTAAGGGGATTTCACTAAATATTATCAACGCTGATAAGCAAAAGTTTCGGTCAGTGCACTTTCGGCGAATTCTCTCAGAAACAACAAAGTGTAGATGTACATGCAATGTAAATAAGAGACTAATTCATCATACACTGCAGACAACATCACTGATTATAACTTATAGCTTTTTTAGAGTGCTTAAGTTACACTCACGCTAGACTGAATTCAGTGATATTCTTTGATAATGTCAAGTGGTTTGAGCACGTTTGACCAGAGACTAGAGCGCAATTAAATAGCTGTGCTTATGTGATTGCCGGAGGCCGTCTTGAGAAACGAGAAAATGGCTCATAAAAAGGACGAGGACTTGAATGGTTTTTACAAGTTGGAATGTAAAATTACGGTAGTATCATTTCACATGAAATTCTGTGAGTGTGAGGGGGAGAAGTAGGGACGCAAGGCGCGCAAGTGAAATACAACCGCACTAGGCTATATTTCTGGTCAGTTTAATAAATAATTAATCACAAAACTATCACAAAAATTAAGTATCTTGGGGATGATCGAGGGGCACAAGGAAAATGTCAGACCCGGCCCTGCTGCAGCACCCTCAGCACCCCTAGTTCCCACGGCCATGCTTGTTTCTCATTTTAAGGTGAGACACCACAGATGAATAGCGGACAAAAAGGAACTTATAGATATCACCATCCTTCCTATTTGTTTTGTTACATTTATGAATTGCACACATTTTTTGTATTAAAAGTTTTCATTATGTTTGAATATGCAAATGATGTATTAGATATGCACTATTTTTTTTATACATTTTCAAAACAGAAATCAGAACATTGGATAAAGCAAGTTCAAAAGCCTTTTTTCATTTTGTTGACATATAAGATGTCTAATAGAGGGGAATTTGCCATTTCGTTTTATGTTTTTTAGGAATAAAATGTCATATAAAATCAGGCAAATGATATTTGAACAGATGCAAACAGATAAAGTGCGATAAAATGAACACTTAAAAGTATACTTTGGATGTTTTCTATCCACAAGTGAAGAGCCAAATAGTCTAAACAAATGCATGAAAAAAAAAAGTTTTTCTTTTCCTGTTGTGTCTTGCCTTAAGCTTAATTAAATACAATTGTCTTTTTATTTTCATTCTCTCCGCATCATTCTGTCTTAATAAGCAAAAATAAAAAACCTCAAGGAAACTTGGGCTGTGAAAATAAAACATGCTGTTACAATACAAGCTACTGAAAAGACTGTAAATCTCCGCAGCCTTGTTTTCATTCACATGAAATTACATATGGCATCTACTCTGACTAAGATCTATTGCTCCGCGTATACAAAAGAATAATGAAATTAGTGGACTTCAGTGAAAAAATCTTCCCAGATGGCCAAACAGTAAACATTACTAACAAGTCCCCTTGTTGAGATTATAACCCATCTTGTGTTTGATCAGTGTTCGGACTGCAGTACTATTACAAAATGAAACGAATCTCAGCTCGTTCGTGCTTCAGATTCACTGCACCGTCACTCCTGGTTTCATCAGCGTGATTTCATAGGATGGAGGCAAGGGCCCTGCTGCTAATTACACTGAGTGCTTTGTTGTGCGATCTGCAGTTCTGCTCTCTCACTGGTCTTGACGTTCACATCAATAGCAGTTTGAGAATGATGGATTTTCATTGCCTGCAACATAAGCTGCCTCTTGATTAGAAATTCTGCATGTCTTGTGGTCACGAGATGCATGTGGAAGGTCAGACGTAGGAAGCGTAATACAGTTGAATCTGGGATGCAAAGTCCGTTTGTGACTCGGTGCTACTTGCTCAGAAGGAATCAGTGGTATCCTCCGACATGTCAGAGCTATAATACTCACAGGCATGCAGTCATAATGAGTAATCCTGCATTAGTAAGATGATGTCCTAGTTAGTATAGTGGAAGATTCCCTTTGAGACATTTCCCATGACTTATACAGTGGCAGATAAAAATGTTTGCTTCATCATTTCGCCATTTCGCCAAAAAGCGTGGTGTTTAGTGGCAAACAAATGCATCTTAAAGGGTTAGTTCAGCCCAAAATGAAAATGCTGTAATTAATTACTCATGTCGTTCCAAAACCGTAAGACCTTCGTTCATCTTCAGAACACAATTTCAGATATTTTTGATGGAATCTTAGAGCTGTAAGTAAATTTAACTCAAAGGGAATCATTTAAGATTTTAAAGGGAACTCCACCAATAATATGTAAGGGAATTTGGACAGAATCACTGTTTTACGGCTGATCACTGAGACGGCCAGCGATTCAGTGAACGAGCCGTATGACATATCACAAAACTATCACAAAAATTAAGTATCTTGGGGATGATCGAGGGGCACAAGGAAAATGTCAGACCCGGCCCTGCTGCAGCACCCTCAGCACCCCTAGTTCCCACGGCCATGCTTGTTTCTCATTTTAAGGTGAGACACCACAGATGAATAGCGGACAAAAAGGAACTTATAGATATCACCATCCTTCCTATTTGTTTTGTTACATTTATGAATTGCACACATTTTTTTGTATTAAAAGTTTTCATTATGTTTGAATATGCAAATGATGTATTAGATATGCACTATTTTTTTTATACATTTTCAAAACAGAAATCAGAACATTGGATAAAGCCAAGTTCAAAAGCCTTTTTTCATTTTGTTGACATATAAGATGTCTAATAGAGGGGAATTTGCCATTTCGTTTTATGTTTTTAGGAATAAAATGTCATATAAAATCAGGCAAATGATATTTGAACAGATGCAAACAGATAAAGTGCGATAAAATGAGCACTTAAAAGTATACTTTGGATGTTTTCTATCCACAAGTGAAGAGCCAAATAGTCTAAACAAATGCATGAAAAAAAAAAGTTTTTCTTTTCCTGTTGTGTCTTGCCTTAAGCTTAATTAAATACAATTATCTTTTTATTTTCATTCTCTCCGCATCATTCTGTCTTAATAAGCAAAAATAAAAAACCTCAAGGAAACTTGGGCTGTGAAAATAAAACATGCTGTTACAATACAAGCTACTGAAAAGACTGTAAATCTCCGCAGCCTTGTTTTCATTCACATGAAATTACATATGGCATCTACTCTGACTAAGATCTATTGCTCCGCGTATACAAAAGAATAATGAAATTAGTGGACTTCAGTGAAAAAATCTTCCCAGATGGCCAAACAGTAAACATTACTAACAAGTCCCCTTGTTGAGATTATAACCCATCTTGTGTTTGATCAGTGTTCGGACTGCAGTACTATTACAACATGAAACGAATCTCAGCTCGGTCGTGCTTCAGATTCACTGCACCGTCACTCCTGGTTTCATCAGCGTGATTTCATAGGATGGAGGCAAGGGCCCTGCTGCTAATTACACTGAGTGCTTTGTTGTGCGATCTGCAGTTCTGCTCTCTCACTGGTCTTGACGTTCACATCAATAGCAGTTTGAGAATGATGGATTTTCATTGCCTGCAACATAAGCTGCCTCTTGATTAGAAATTCTGCATGTCTTGTGGTCACGAGATGCATGTGGAAGGTCAGACGTAGGAAGCGTAATACAGTTGAATCTGGGATGCAAAGTCCGTTTGTGACTCGGTGCTACTTGCTCAGAAGGAATCAGTGGTATCCTCCGACATGTCAGAGCTATAATACTCACAGGCATGCAGTCATAATGAGTAATCCTGCATTAGTAAGATGATGTCCTAGTTAGTAAATTTTTTTTTTACAGTGATTCAGTAATTCTCACAATGTTACAATATATCTCGCAATGTGACTTTAAACTCTAGCAGTTTTTCAACTGTGGCAGTTACAACTTTATTTTCTCATAATTGTGACTTCATATCTTTCAATTATGGCATTATATTTAGCAAATGCCTGCAAAGTGACTTGTTTCCATAGCCGTGGGAACATATTTTATCTGGGGGCGGGGCTTGATGTTGCAGGGCGGGGCCATGGTTGGGGATTTTTGACAAAATCCTAACATTAAACAGCCCAAACTCAAAACAAAAATTAACATACAAATGAAGACAGAGTTATATGCGAACCAATATATATTTGTGCTTTTGTGATTTTAGTTCAAGAATTTTTTCTTTAATATTTCTATTATTTAAGGGGATTTCACTAAATATTATCAACGCTGATAAGCAAAAGTTTCGGTCAGTGCACTTTCGGCGAATTCTCTCAGAAACAACAAAGTGTAGATGTACATGCGATGTAAATAAGAGACTAATTCATCATACACTGCAGACAACATCACTGATTATAACTTATAGCTTTTTTAGAGTGCTTAAGTTACACTCACGCTAAACTGAATTCAGTGATATTCTTTGATAATGTCAAGTGGTTTGAACACGTTTGACCAGAGACTAGAGCGCAATTAAAGAGCTGTGCTTATGTGATTGCCGGAGGCCGTCTTGAGAAACGAGAAAATGGCTCATAAAAAGGACGAGGACTTGAATGGTTTTTACAAGTTGGAATGTAAAATTACGGTAGTATCATTTCACATGAAATTCTGTGAGTGTGAGGGGGAGAAGTAGGGACGCAAGGCGCGCAAGTGAAATACAACCGCACTAGGCTATATTTCTGGTCAGTTTAATAAATAATTAATCACAAAACTATCACAAAAATTAAGTATCTTGGGGATGATCGAGGGGCACAAGGAAAATGTCAGACCCGGCCCTGCTGCAGCACCCTCAGCACCCCTAGTTCCCACGGCCATGCTTGTTTCTCATTTTAAGGTGAGACACCACAGATGAATAGCGGACAAAAAGGAACTTATAGATATCACCATCCTTCCTATTTGTTTTGTTACATTTATGAATTGCACACATTTTTTGTATTAAAAGTTTTCATTATGTTTGAATATGCAAATGATGTATTAGATATGCACTATTTTTTTTATACATTTTCAAAACAGAAATCAGAACATTGGATAAAGCAAGTTCAAAAGCCTTTTTTCATTTTGTTGACATATAAGATGTCTAATAGAGGGGAATTTGCCATTTCGTTTTATGTTTTTTAGGAATAAAATGTCATATAAAATCAGGCAAATGATATTTGAACAGATGCAAACAGATAAAGTGCGATAAAATGAACACTTAAAAGTATACTTTGGATGTTTTCTATCCACAAGTGAAGAGCCAAATAGTCTAAACAAATGCATGAAAAAAAAAAGTTTTTCTTTTCCTGTTGTGTCTTGCCTTAAGCTTAATTAAATACAATTGTCTTTTTATTTTCATTCTCTCCGCATCATTCTGTCTTAATAAGCAAAAATAAAAAACCTCAAGGAAACTTGGGCTGTGAAAATAAAACATGCTGTTACAATACAAGCTACTGAAAAGACTGTAAATCTCCGCAGCCTTGTTTTCATTCACATGAAATTACATATGGCATCTACTCTGACTAAGATCTATTGCTCCGCGTATACAAAAGAATAATGAAATTAGTGGACTTCAGTGAAAAAATCTTCCCAGATGGCCAAACAGTAAACATTACTAACAAGTCCCCTTGTTGAGATTATAACCCATCTTGTGTTTGATCAGTGTTCGGACTGCAGTACTATTACAAAATGAAACGAATCTCAGCTCGTTCGTGCTTCAGATTCACTGCACCGTCACTCCTGGTTTCATCAGCGTGATTTCATAGGATGGAGGCAAGGGCCCTGCTGCTAATTACACTGAGTGCTTTGTTGTGCGATCTGCAGTTCTGCTCTCTCACTGGTCTTGACGTTCACATCAATAGCAGTTTGAGAATGATGAATTTTCATTGCCTGCAACATAAGCTGCCTCTTGATTAGAAATTCTGCATGTCTTGTGGTCACGAGATGCATGTGGAAGGTCAGACGTAGGAAGCGTAATACAGTTGAATCTGGGATGCAAAGTCCGTTTGTGACTCGGTGCTACTTGCTCAGAAGGAATCAGTGGTATCCTCCGACATGTCAGAGCTATAATACTCACAGGCATGCAGTCATAATGAGTAATCCTGCATTAGTAAGATGATGTCCTAGTTAGTATAGTGGAAGATTCCCTTTGAGACATTTCCCATGACTTATACAGTGGCAGATAAAAATGTTTGCTTCATCATTTCGCCATTTCGCCAAAAAGCGTGGTGTTTAGTGGCAAACAAATGCATCTTAAAGGGTTAGTTCAGCCCAAAATGAAAATGCTGTAATTAATTACTCATGTCGTTCCAAAACCGTAAGACCTTCGTTCATCTTCAGAACACAATTTCAGATATTTTTGATGGAATCTTAGAGCTGTAAGTAAATTTAACTCAAAGGGAATCATTTAAGATTTTAAAGGGAACTCCACCAATAATATGTAAGGGAATTTGGACAGAATCACTGTTTTACGGCTGATCACTGAGACGGCCAGCGATTCAGTGAACGAGCCGTATGACATCAATTCTGCAATGGATATTTATATCCAAAATATAGTGAAAATACTATTAATTAGTACGGTAACAAGGTTGGCAGTTTAAGACATTAACTTGTGGTTTGTAATAGTAAAGTTTGACGAGACCAGGTGGCGTTTCTACTCATGGTTTTGGAGGAGATGGCGTGTAAGCCAGAGCACGCTCAAAAGCGCTAAGAAGCGCTGGCTAAAAAGCATATAACTAAAAAGCATGACTAGAAGCGAAAAGCTAAAAGCTAGACGCAAAAAGCAAAGTTTGATGGTGTCCTGAGTATTTAAACCAGGCTGTTTAACACACCCCAAATGGTCTTTTGCACAATTAGATGTCATGTTTGCTCGGGGTGTTGTATATTTCAGAATCAGAATCAGAATCAGAATCAGAATCAGAATCCTAAGTGGGGAGAAAAGTCAATCCGAAGAGCTTGTGATCACTATCACATGTTTCCATGTGATGGTCACGCTATGCATCTCTTTTGACCATTATTCTTGATAACTTGCCCCCAAAATTGACAATCTCCTTGGAATTGTCAATAAGTGTTCTTTTGTTTTAATGTTGAAAGCTGTTCTGTGAAAGAGTTGGTTAGGCTTGCTTCAGACTGGCTAGGGTCTGATTTATGACATCCTGTTGTCTTGGGTCTCTGTGGAATTTGGACTCCTCGTTTCAACCATGTTTTGACCAAATCTTAGATTGTCTGATTCGGTCTGATATCCTACAGAGCTCTCTGACCCTCCCATAGAAAGCAACGCAACTGTAATGGTCCCAGGTCCAGAAATGTGGTAAGGTCATGGGTAAAACAGTCCATGTGACATCAGTGGCTCAACTTCAATTTTGCGAAGCTACGAGAATACTTTTTGTGTGCAAAGAAAACAAAAATAACGACTTTATTCAACAATTCTTCTCCTCCGACTTACTGTCTTCCGCCATTTTGGAGAGAATCACAATGCATACGCACGCTTTACCTTAAGCGGAAACAACGCTGATTACGCCGATTATGTTCATGCGCGCTTAATTTGTGTTCTGAAGATGAACAAAGGTCTTGCGTATTTGGAATGACATGAGGGTGAGTAATTAATGACAGAATTTTCATTTTTGGGTGAACTAACGCTTGAACCTATTTTAGCATGCTAAATTTCTTAGGACATCAAATGAACAAGCTAAGCTCTACAGATTCTGTTTATATGACTCAAATACAATACCATTTAAAAGTTTGGTGTCTGTAAGATTTTATATGTTTTTGAAATTCTCTTATTTTCACCAAGGCTGCATTTATTTGATCAAAAATATCAAAAACAGTAATGCTGTGAAATATAAAATTGTAACTGTTTTCTATTGTAATCCATTTTTAAATGTAATTTATATTCCTGTTATCAAAGAGATTCAGATCAAAATCTGAATGTTCATAATCAGTCTTCAGGGTCACGTGATCCTTCAGAAATCAGTCTAATATGCCCATTTGCTGCTTAAGAAACAATATCACTGTTGAAAACAGTTGTGCTATTTAATATTTTTTGTGGAAAGAGTGTTAATTTGTTTTTTCAGGATTCTGATTAATTGAAAATTTGAAGGAACAGCATTTATTTGAAATATAAATATTTTGTAACAATGTAAAGTAAATATAAATGTCTTTACTGTCACATTTTGACCATGATCATTTAAAATTAATTTGTTTCTAAATAGGTAAATAAATAAATACGGTATAACAAATAATTTACTTAGAACCCTAAAATATAATCCAATCTAGCAATACACAGGGGTTTGTGAATGAATCAGTATTTTTGAATAAATGGATTGAGTGAATAATTCAGTGACTCTCTCAAAAACTCATTGTTTAGTTTCTGAATTGAGTCTGTGTTTTTGAACTAATTAGTTGATTCAATGGTTCATTCATAAATGACAATCAGCTGTCGCCACCTACTGGTGTAACTCTAAAATTAAAAAACAATAGAACCCCATCACTAATTCACAGACCGGAAAATCCCAATATCAGATCAACCAATCAAATTCGAGGACTGGAATTAACATGTAACTATAATATACAAAGTATTGTATTTAAAGAAATCAAATGATGGAGAAAAGCACTGTAACAGGCATATAAATAGATGGACTGTGCATTCACATGCACTTTTGACATTTCAAACAGCTGCGGAGCGATGCTGTACAGTCCTAGAAAAGCAAAGCAGATCATGCAAGTCTACTGCATTCTTCACCTCCTACTCCAGCACTCAGAACAGACCCAAAAGATGGAGAACTACGCCTTTCAAATTACATTCAGCACTAATTCTGCGTGCATGTTTGCCTGATTTGCATAATTCCTTTAGTGAATTGGGGATTAAATCAACACACACACAAAAAAAAAACACTAGTCATTTCGAGTAAATTCTCCCATGTATCTTTTATGAAGTTACATTTTTGGATGTATGACCACATTGTGAACTCATAAAAACCATGCTGATAGGTCTTGCTGTGCTGTATTGAGAACGGAAGGAGACAGAATGGGGGAGGAAAGAATGTGTTTCCTCACAAGACAGTGCTTCCAGGAAGAAGAAAAAAGGGAGGACGCTTCCTCAACACCGAGGTGTGTATTTTATGACTTCATTTGGTCTGGGACAGGCTTCAGTTGCAAGCCATATCCTGCCTCGCATCATGATGAATTGTGGTATACGGCAGGCCAAGATGAATGCAGTTCACCGAACAGCTTTTCTGGTGACCCTGTTATCGATACCAAGGACTCACTCCAAATTATTCAATATCTTTGCTGGCATTAGTTTGGTGGCCAAGGCTGTCGGAGTGAGAGACTGCAAATTCTGAGCACTAACTACAGAGATGTTGTAAATAAAGGTCTGAGGACATATTGGAGAGCGAGCTGCCCCCCTGCCCCCATTCCCCCGCCCGTCCCGATCGCTGCACTGCTGCATTCAATCTATGTAGGTCTGTACTGCAGCTAAATTTACATTCTATGTGCTGTGACTGTCACAGGCTCCTGCCTCCATTCAGGTTTATTGCCATCTGATTGTCTGCGGAACATGCTGCTGCACGAATATACTTCATTTGGAAACTTTTTTACTTGATGTCAATCTGTCAGCGTGTTCCCTATTCCCCAAATGCTCATTCTGGAAATACTGGCTGAGTCGGCCACATTCAGCTCACCCATTCTTCCAAGACTGTGGGGCGAATTCACTATTTGTGGTGAGGCCCAGGACTAATAAGACCTCATAACAATGTTTCTGCAACATTGTGAAAATACATATTTATCATGTTAAAATAGCCCAGATATATGTTGTGTATTAGGTGCCTAGGACAAAATGTTACTACCTCAACCTTTTCTCAACATGCATTTTTCTTCAATAATGTAAAAGTTTTTTCACTACATTTTTGTAATGTCTCAGTTAAAATAATTTTGAAAATTCACACAAATATTGCTGCTTGGTCTAGATTTACTGCTGTAGTAAAATATGATGTTTTTATACTGACGTTTTGAGTCTACTTAAAGGAATAGTTCATCCCAAAAATTACAATTTGAAGAACATTTTACTCACCCTCAGGCACATTCCATGACTTGCTCACCAAGAATCATCTGCAGAATGAGAGTCCAAACAGCTGATAAAAACCTCACAATAATCCACAAGTAATCCACACTACTCCAGTCCATCAATTAAGATATTGTGAAGCCAAAATCTGAGTGTTTGTAATAAATCCAATCAACCGGTTTTTAACTTTAACCATTGTTTTTCAACTAAAAATAAGTTCTCTATCCATAAAATTGGTTTCTCTAGTGAAAAAGTCTTCTGGTCTGAATCTGGAGAGAAATATGCACAGATCAAGCACTGTTTACAAGTGAAAAAAGTTCTAAACAAATATGTGGGTGGATTTTGATGTAAGAGGGCAACAGGAGATGAACATTTTCACTGCAAGAAGCATTATTATGGATTATGGACTTAGAAACAATGATTTAAAGTTAAAATGTCTTAATGATGGATCATTACTGTAATGTTTTTATCAGCTGTTTGGACTCTCATTCTGACGGCACCCATTCACTGCAGAAGTCCATCGGTGAGCAATTGTAGTAATGCTAAATTTCATATTTTTGGCTAAAATGTTACAAAATTGAAGTGTAATACTGTATATTTCTGGTAATTCTCATATGTAAACTACGTATCATCACACTTTTTTTTAAAATCACAAAACTGGCTTCTTGAACATTTTTAAAACGTTGCACTGCAGCCAAAATGTAATGTTGTAAAATATATATTTGTGTTAGTTGGACTGCTGGTAAACAGTATTTTATTTAAAAGAGATTGCATGCATTTTAGTCTACTTCATTCTCCACAACTGAACACTCAGAACCAGTTTGTAAGCTAGGGGAGTTGCGGCACGTAAATTGTATTTAGCACAGGGTTTTTTGGGGGGGAATATTTGCACAGTTAGATTATTTGCATAATTCCTTTAGTGTCCATCGGTGAGCAATTGTAGTAATGCTAAATTTCATATTTTTGGCTAAAATGTTACAAAATTGAAGTGTAATACTGTATATTTCTGGTAATTCTCATATGTAAACTACGTATCATCACACTTTTTTTTTTAAATCACAAAACTGGCTTCTTGAACATTTTTAAAACGTTGCACTGCAGCCAAAATGTAATGTTGTAAAATATATATTTGTGTTAGTTGGACTGCTGGTAAACAGTATTTTATTTAAAAGAGATTGCATGCATTTTAGTCTACTTCATTCTCCACAACTGAACACTCAGAACCAGTTTGTAAGCTAGGGGAGTTGCGGCACGTAAATTGTATTTAGCACAGGGTTTTTTGGGGGGGAATATTTGCACAGTTAGATTATTTGCATAATTCCTTTAGTGAATCAGATGCTTTAACAACACAGACAGTGCTTGCAAATAAGTGACAACTAATTTTTGGTGAACGTTGTGATTCATCTAGTTAATTATAGAAAATACCATGAGGCTCGTTGATTTTGCCCAAACGAGTGATATTACATTTTTTAAAGCAAAGCAAGCAAGCACTTTAGTGTCCTTCTTTTCCAAATGTAGGTTTGTTAGAACAGAACAAGCTTTTGTTCTTTTTTTTTTTTAAAGAAAGAAACTAAAAAATTGCTTTTACTTTTTCTATTTGGATCTTGTTTGGGAACAAAGAGCAGCCTCTAGAAAAGTCAACCTTCGTAAGACCTGCTCTTTTGTTTCTAAGGCTTTGATACCTGTAGTTACCAATGAATATACTTCTTGAATACTGATCAAACAAGCCTCGCA